TTCAGCATAGACAAAGTTCGGATGAACTTGTTCTCTTGCTGACAAAACTGCAGACTGGGGAGGAGATGGAGCGTCCATTTAAAGAATTAGTACCAAAAGTACTAATGAGAGATGTTATAGAATGGAGACTGACCCCTTGCTAACATCCACCCTTCATAGACTGGATCCACATTGCAAAAGAACGCAGGCTACGGTCATGATGCCGGCTATGTCCAGGACAAAGGGCATTGCTGGAACACCTGTTTAAGGACCGAATATCTCTATCCATAAAGTATAAGCTGTTTGTTAAATTAGCTTTCAGACTATGTGAGATGTTATAGAATGGAGACAGAAAGGAGGTGATTTAGGAGTTAACCTGTTTCTTATTATTGTATTCTTGAAGCATTGTTTTATCAACTATTTAAATGCAATTTAAAAGCTCCCCGAAGCTTGTGTTTTGCTTGAATGTTATTAGTTTTTTTCCCCTTGCATGAAAGTGAGAACTTGTAAAAAAAAAAATGTGGCACCGGAGTGAAAGATTTGTTATGATGTAAGTGACAACTTCTGCAATTTGCTTCTGGCAACCTGCCCTGAAATGAATGTTCAGTGTGTAGAGAATTCTAAGAGCGATTGTAGAAATGAGAAAGGAAAGAAAAAGCAATGTCACACCAGAAATACAGTATATTGAACCCAGTCAGTGCCAGAGGGTCTGCTGTGTGCAAAGAAATAAAGCTCACAGAAAATACAACAGTGAAATAGTTACAAATAATTTGAAACAAGACAAAACATACTTTTTGTGTCATGATATACATGTTACCCAAGTAGCAATGACCATTATCAAGATAGGTCATAGCGTCTTTCTTTCAGAACCAAGGATACTTTCTAGCAAACAAGGCAAGGTTTGTGCTTGTATCGGTTGTTGGTTCCAACTCTACCTTATAAATCGTTACTCCAGAAAGTGGCTACAGATGACCAGTACTCTTGCTGAGGATTGTAAGCTGTCCATTTCATTTTACAGCAGACACAGCAGCCTTCATTTCAGATCACCCCCTCTCCCTTCCTGTGTTTCACTGTTGGGAGTAGCAAAATTGAGATTTTTAATTTTCCCCAAACTTTAGCAAAAATACAGAGGGTTATTCACAAAGCTAGCCAAAGGATCAGCCGAAGCTTCGGCTGATCCTTCGGCTAGCTTCAGTTGCAGGAGTCCTTCTGTTCAGTCAAAATCAGTCTGTGCTGAATAACTTCACTGTTCATCCATAAGGCTCTGCAGATGTATGGAGGCAGTCCACAGCCCACCCAACTCTAGAGCTAGCTGGTATTTGCATAATAAAGTGTTATGGAGCTTGTGGATCTAGAATGCAGCTGAATTTAAGTGCTGGTATCGGGCGCCATCTTCTGTAGCATGAAATCGTCAAGTTACCAAACTGGTCAGGAGTACAGGTACACTTTAACCCCAGTTTTAAATAGGAGGTGAATTTACAGAGCTCCCTTAAACCTGACCTCCTATGCAAAGCCCCCTGTTGCTGGACAATTTTTGTGCCCCAAGGACTTTATACTGATCCGCTATAACCTCCTTGATCAACTTTTCCCATTATATATACTATAGTTAGATATACAAGTAAAATTCGACTTGCCCCAAAACTTATCTTTAGCAATTTGGAAAGATAATTTTTTTCTTTGTTTAGAGGCACCGTTAAAAAAAATACCTTTAAACTACCAAAATCTTCCACAGATTTTAATTTTTAAATGCCTACTATTTTATTTATGCTCCATGAAGATGTGAAACTCCACTTAATGTAGCTATATATCCATTAAAAATATATATATATATTTTAATTGCAGCTAATGAATGCACCTAAATCTGCCTTGCTTTCAGCCTCCCTTACACTGTAAGAGAGAGGGAGTCAGTCAGGCTCTGTTGCAAGTACATAGGTTAACAGGGAACATGCTGGCAAGGGAAAGGAGGTGAGAGATGACCTTATCAGTCTTTTGCTTCTCCTTAATTGTCTAATCACGGTATGGGATAGTCACTATCCTTTCTGTAATTTGTGGCAGGGTTGTGTAAATTGCAGGACTAGATAGACAAAATTATAAATCCTTTGGCAGGTGAAAACAGCTCCTGCCTGAATATTTAGCTTTCTGCTTAGTGTTCTGATTTTAAGTTTCACATACTAACTAAAGCACATACTGACACAGTAAATATTCTTTTTATACAATATATGCAAGAATAATGTTTTGCAAACCTTTATTTTATAATCACGTTAGCACACAGACTTATTTCTGCATGCTTTCGTGTTCAGAAAAAGAAGAGAAGAGGAAATGGCAGTATCACCAGGTGTTTTGGAGGAACTGCAGCATTCAAAAAGGAAGAGGCTAGATTTACAGTACACAATATGCAATCCCAGTTGCATAAAATGAAAAAATGTTGCAAAGGATATATGATAAACAAGATGTAAAAAAAATATATGGTAATGCCTGGTAAAATTATGAAATCGCTTATTTCCAAGTATTTTGACATTTGCACGTTTAATACCATGAGAGAAGCAGGAAGCAGTGGGATAGAAGCTAGCCTCTGTAGTTTGTGGTAGAATCACAGTATGCTTCTGTCTGCCTTTTTTTTTAGTCAGGGTACAGTATAGCCTCTCCTCTCTTTGAAGCCTTATGAGTCTGTTTATAGCCTGGGGGAGGCTGGTGTTCTGACATATTCAGAAAGCCACAAGAAACAGATGATTCCCAGATGAGTCCTCTCATAACATATGCTAAAATGAATTATAAGTTCATAGGACTTAGTAAAAGACTGATTAGAGACAAGAAGCAAAAATAGTCAAATGAGGTTCATAACTATTATTTATTTATATCAAGGCTCATTTGTATATGTTCTCCCGATCAGATTTTGGTCCATGTATCCTAGTTGTATTACATTATCACATTTAAAGTGGCCCTTGCACTAAAAGAAAAAAATCCAGTCCAATTATACATTAGGCCCCCCTCCCCATACCAAATTGCCACATTAAAATGTATTAAAAAAACACATGTGGGGAAGAAATGTAAAGAAAATACTTACTTAACCCCAGGTTCTACAATGGGGCGAGTGACATTACATAGCGTTTAGTGCAAGGACCACTTTAAGTTTAATAGAGGGTTTTAAGTGTGCAGTTTCTGAATTCCGATGAGATTTAGTTTCCTGCTCAATTTCATGAGGACTGGAGTCCTTTGTGCCCCAAGTGTGGGCTAATTTCATACATATGTGATGATCCTGCCCACATGTGGAGGGCTTCTGGAAACAGGTTGCCTAGTTCATACATGATATAATGAAGTCCCCTGTGGCTGTGGACCATAGGGTGTGCCTCCTTGATCTGCAGGATTATTTCCCCATGGAGCCATCTTTTAAACAGTGTGTAACAGAAAAACTCTTTACCGCTCAGATTATGCAGCTTCTTGCTGCATATTGGAAAATAACTTTGGTGGAGTGGAAGAGTAAATTCATTGCTAGTCTCACGTATCAAACATTGATTTAAATACAGAGTGTATGCCCAGGAAAATTGATTAGAATCTTAGATAGATGGATGTCATATGTCGAAATCCCATGATCCTAAATAACTGGTGGTTGATCCATTCAAAACATGATGCATATATAATTTGTTAGTTCTTTGACTTCTTAATCAGTTCAGTTACCCTTATATTCTGCCTACCAATATTATACCTAATGTTTAGTTGGAAGCATGGTCCTGCCCTCCCTGTGTGGTTCCCAGATGCTGCCTATAGTGCCCATATAGCCTG